AAGGTGACTGGAATATGATTGAATTTACTGTTAAAATACGCTTTCTCTTGCTGCGAATTCTCCGTGCAAAACGCAGCAAGAATTTCCTTTGTGTCCGAGTTCGTTGAAATTAGTCCTATTGAAGTTGATGTTTGTACGTATCTTCGAGGGAAAATGAACGTCTGGAAGTTGTGTGCGCACTCTACAGGGTTTTCTTATGACAAACGCTCGAATCTTGTGGACATTGATGCCTATGTGGTTTACAGTTCTCAAAAAATGCAAAGCGCAACAAATTTTCCTGCATGAGTCGGGGGCTTTGAGTTGACCGATTTCGGTTAATACTGTTACCATGGATAGTGTACGACAAATTTGGGGTTCTGTCCTGTGGATCAGCAGTTTTCATCTACTTTTGTGTCGTGCTTTCAAAATTAATCACGTCCGCTGACATTCGGCTGTAATCTCTGGCCGCGTCAACTGATAGCTTCTTCGTTCGGAGCTTGTGGAGAATTTCGTGTTCGAAATATCGGCATCCGCCATGGGACTGGAAGACTGGAACACGAAAAAAGGATCTTGAATAAAAAATAATCTGTGGCCATCATAACAGCTAGAATCGTTAACATTCGCGTCATTTACGATCCGGCATATCATTGGAATCGCGTTTGACTAAACTATAAAACAAATGAAACGTGGTTTTTTTTAGGCCTGCTCACGAATATCTGTCCGTCAGCGTTTGTATCGCTATCGCAGTTGAGTCTTTGCATTATTCTGCAGACATGATCGTTTGTAAACGTTCATGCTTGGACTACGCCAATTTTCCTCACCACAATGAACTTTCAGGTAGCTCAGTTTGCAAGTCCACTCGAAAACAATATCTTCAGTATTTTAGGAACTAGGATCCAAATGTCAATCCGTTCAGATCGCAGCGAAAAGCAAGTTCTGTGAGTGAAGCAGCAAGGGCGCGCAGCTGGGCGTGCGGTTTGTCGTCGGGGATTCGCTTTGGATGTTCAGTTTTCTAAGATAACAACTTCGATCAACTGTCGGTTGATGAATTTTGCCAATACTCGAAGATGTGGCTGTTGACGAAGGCGCTGCATTTGCTTCGAACGAAATTGACATTTTGTCAGAAGCTCGTCGCCAGAAAGTTGTTGTGTCACACTGGCAGCATTCGACTCACGACCGCAAGAGAAATAGAAGTCAAGCCGATAGGGACTGTGTATAATGGAATTCTCATTTGACGTATTTTTAATAAAAAAAAATTTTTTTTTTTTTTTTTTATTTTTGATGGTGAAATTAAGGGAAACTTCAAATTCCAAATAAGCAGTGCATGAGAAGGAAAACGTAATGCAACGGAGATTAACAACCATGTCAAGAGCGAATAGCATAATCGTTAAAAATAGATCATAGTGTAGAGGGGCCGCTTCCAAGAATGCCTCGGGGGAGCTCTTCGGAGCTAGCTGAGAGCGGATCGAGAAGGACGGCTAGCGACGAGCCTGGGCCCGGAACTACGGAGCGGGAATATGTGGACAGCGCAATAAATCAGACATATACGCCGCTAGCGCAGCCCACAGGACCGAGGCCGAGCCGATTGACACAGCCCAGAACAAGCAAGTCGAGAGCTCTCGAACGACTCCTGGCCGATCCAAATCGGGTACAGAGAAGTGGAGATCGAGGCGAAAACAGGAAGGCGGGTCTTCCAAGTCAGAGCTCCCGAGGCGAAAGGACTGGCTCGTCTCTAACATCCGTACCTGTGTTGCGTTGTGGGACGGAAATCTAGTCGATATTCGATGGCGCGCGTGAGACCCTCATGTGCCCATTTTCGGTGTGCAATAAACGTCTACCCCCCTGTCGTGTCGTTCTCGCTACACTGGTGCCGTGACCATTCGCGATGGAGTTGACCCGGTTGGAGCAATTTGCGGCCGGTGACGTGGAGGCGTGGCTCGATGAGTTCGACGGAATTGCGGCTTGCACGGGTGTGAGGGGGATGCAAATTTGCTAATTGCTTTGGGCACACGGTTGAGTGGACGAGCCAAGGCGGTGTATCTGCTCACTCGGAAGGCCAAACCCGGCTGTTCGTTCGCTGAGATGAGGGCTGCCTTGTGTGCAGAATTTGGGAAGGATCTGGAGAGAGAACGAGCACTGCAACGATTTCACGCAGCCAGATGGGACGAACAGGAGGATTTGATGGTGTTTTTCCAGCAGCTGGACAGACATCTAACGATTGGGCTCCCCGAGTTAGAGGGCAACGCAAGAGAGCGCCTACTGAAACAGCAGTTTATCCGAAGTCTGCCCGATCCACTCCGTGATCAGGTGAAATTGGCGTCGATGGTGGGAGACAGCAAAGCGTTGGATCTGGTGACGGTCGCCCAGAATTTGTCGGAACGAGTGACAGTGAGAAGCATCCAGCATGCTGAGTTGGAACAGAAAGTAAATCGCCTATCCGAAATGGTGGAGCAGCTGTTGTCGATAGAGTCTTCAAGCACCACTTCACAACGCAATGTACGGGTAATCCGGAACGGTCGCCGCTGTTTCCGATGCAACCAGAGTGGTCATGTGGCGAGATTCTGCACCAACGTCAATGTGCCCCATTGTTTCTCTCTATCCATGCCGAGTCGGTGGCGAGTACCAGTCCTCCAGGTAACTATAGAAGGTGTGTCTGTCCGAGCCATAGTAGACACAGGAGCGGCAGTGTCAATTACGAAGAGGTTCAACGGGGTTCCAGTAAACCCATCTTCAATCACGATGCAGACGGTCGGCGGGCATTCTTTGAAAGTGACGGGCACGCAGCGGTTACGAATCAGGATAGGAGAAACGCTCATCCGCCATGACATGTTCATCGTGGAGGAGACGACCGAAACCATCATCGGAACCGACATCCTGAAACGGCTCGGTGTCACAATTGACCTGAAAAACGATGTGGTGATCGTGGCTAACGATACGATCGAGATAAACAAGGGGAGAACCGACCGGGTTGGTGCCCTCAAAGCCGTGCCTGATTGTCAGAACCGTGCAATACGCAACGTACTGAGCAGGTATGCCCACTTATTCACAGACGCGGAAGATGATTACGGATTTTGCAATTG